CCTAACCTCTCTGTGGCATGGGCTTAGCAAATAAAGCTCCATCTTGAAGACTTGATTAATACTCATAATATGCTTTGAGTTCCTTAGGTGAAGTAGTATAATGGAGTGATAACATTTCTGTAGCATAAATTCATTCTTCTTTGTGTTGCCCTTCTTTTAAGAAGGAAGATAGCAAATCAGCTGATATAGCTTCATTTTTACTTATACATCTGAGCCAGTGAAAATTCACTTGAAAACATTTCCTTTCACATCAAACACAAAAAGATCCATTTGCAGCTGCTTTAATATTCATTCAGTAGCTGGATCTAACCCTTTTACAAAATTTAATTGTGTGCTTTCTGAAATGGAACTAAGTGTCAATTTTCTTAATGCAGTTAGCACCATACTTAATATTATAATAACACTGATTTATACTCTTCTCATGTCTCTCTCAAACTATTATTTAATGCTCAAAAAAATCCTTCTAATGTTTGCTGGAATGAACAAGGGTGAATACAAATATAAATATAATTACAGGTGTTAGAGGATGCAGTTTCTGAATGTAGATGTTGTGATCTGTAATTGCTTGCCAAGAGCCTTTCAGTGACTGATAAATGGAGAATTCAACACCATGTACATATTGCAAGATAAGAATAAGTTTATAAAGCATTGAGGAATATGCTAATCAGCTCTTTAAAACTAGAGGGGAATAAAATGATTGAAATCCTAAGGGAGATATTTTCAGTACTAATCAGGCAGCTTGTTAATGGAGTTGTGCATGTTGTGCCAAATGTATCCTTTTTGCAGCTGGGTTGACTGGTCTTGATTTGGCCCAGCAGTTATTTAAAGAATAAAGATTAATTATGAAGACCTGGTCAAATTGTTGGACTGATAAACTCATAACCACTGTAGAAGGGTAGTGAGGATGCATGACGTATTGTGTTAACTCACTGAAGGATCAATCAGAACACAAAAGTCAACTTTCCTTCAAAGACTCTAATGTTTAATTACAGATTCCTGTTACGCTATGGACTAGAGGAGAGAGCTACAGAGCCACTAAACTAAATTAACCAAGCAACAGGATAAAATATACACCCATCAAATTAAGAGAAAGTGAATTAATATAAACCCATCATTTTGGAAGTTATCAGGCAGAGTGCTATCAATCTTGATGCTGACTGATATATCCAGGTTCCAGTCAAGTAGACTGGGAGAACGCTCCAGTAAAAGCTGATGCCAGAATAATCAGAATAATGCTAGTACACTGTCCATACTACTGGTGGCTAGTTTTCTCTTGACATCTACATTTCCAGTGACTTTGGTAACCTCTTCCTAGAGCAGTGTTTAATGACTGAGTGAAACCATAGGACTCTGGCTTTAGTTTTTGTATATTAGCAGAGCTTTTACTAATAGAGAAGTTGTTCTTGTTGCATTAATACATTTTCTGTGTATGCCATCTGCTGGACTCTGTTCAGAGTGCATATTTACTCATAAATCTTTTCAATTATATTTGTACCTAAATAAAGTTATCCGCAACTAAATCAATAGTACAAAAATATGAACAGCATAACATTATCTCAATTTATGAAAGCAGTGCTTTTACTTCAGTTTCTGTAGTACACTATATGTACTGCTAAAAAGATAAATGCCGCATGATTTTTTTAATGCATTGATACTTTTTCAATGGTGTTATTTCTACAGTGGCATAGAGCTGTTGACCTGAGTGTGCACATCATAAAAACAAAAGTTTGTCTTCTAAAACATGGGTTTTAAAACAGTATGCAAAACCAACACTGTCTATTTTAAAATTCTGTATCAGAAAGTTTATGGCTTACAAAAATAGTACTTAGATAATGTTGTTCTCAGCCCCAACAGTCTTAACCTCTCAAATCCTGGGCAACTGCTACTTTAATATGAGTATGTCAGCACCAAATTCTACTCTTACATTAGATAAGGATTTGTTATCACCATAGATCAGAGCAGATACATTGTTTTCTGTATCCAAGAGTAAAGAATTCCTTTCTGCTGCAAAGTTTCAACTGGCATTTTATTTTAAAGTTAAGAATTGCATCCAATGAGATATAAATGAGGTGATAACACTGAACGTATGGGAGAATGCTGAAAGTGGACGACTTAACAGAAGGACAGTTGTTTTAGTAATGGTTTAATATTTACTAATAGAGCTTGATCCTGTTACTGTTTGAAATAGCTAGTCATTTGCAGCTATGTTAAAGAATCCTTTTGATTTTCCGAGTATGACATTTACTACCTTCAGTTTTCTGTCACTCAGCCAAATACTATTAGTCATCACTCTTGAAGCTTTCGTTTGAAGGCAAAAAGTATTAGTAATACAGACACAAATAAATTATTATTATAATATTTCCTGGATAGCTTGTCCCGATAAGTGTAATCCGTGCTAACATTTAGTAGGAAAGCCACCTTTGTCAGCTTATAAAAATTGATAGCTGAACAAAGAAACTGTTAAAACTGCATGCATATTTTATCAAGAAATGATTAGATTTATTTTGTGGTTTATGGTTCAACCCTTTGTGAAGTTTACAGAAATATCTTTTGTTCATAAATCTGTCCTTTTTGTAAGATTTCATTGGAGCAGCAGATTTACTCAGTTAATTCAGAAAGCCTCAAATAGAACTATCTTGTGATTTTTTTTTTTTTTTGTGTGAAATCTGTTTCCAGATTGACGGCGGGCTGTACAGTGATCTAAAGTACTGCAAATGCATAAGTGGTTTTTTGTTTTTTGTTTTTTTTACACTTTTTATACTTTAAAATATTAAAAGTTCCTGAGTACAATGAACTCTATCAGGAAATCTCTGCAAGAGAGGATACATATGTAGAGAATAAATGCCAAAAGGGCAGAAGAATCATGTTGAATGACTAAATTTGTCAAAGTTGCAATATGCTATCATGATATAAGTAGAAAGAGGAAATTTTTTTTATTACTCTTCCCCCCCTCCCCGATAGCCAAGCTTGCTATATTTGTGCTGTTAAGCCATGTACAAATCCCTCTTGTCTTCAGAGTCACTAGAACAACCTCTCCCTTGTTCTAAAGCTTTGATGAGGTCATTCCACAGTGCATTCCTGGACAAGCAGTTTTGTATGAACTTAAATTAGTTAATCTATTTCTGTATTCATGCTACTAATAAAAATGTGTGCAATTGAAGACCTACTGAAGTTAGTGGGAAATTAATATTTCAAGCATCAGTTTATGTATACATACACACCCATACATTTAAATACCTTTTTGTAATTTTTAGTTTGGGAAAGCATGATAAAATAATTTAAGACTTGTTTTTGTGCATACAGCTTTTATTCGATGATTATTTTATTTTCCAAACTACCACATTAATGGTCTGCTCATCTGTAATCAGTGATGTTTAAAACAGTTGTTAAATTTGATTTGTGTAAATAGATTGAACATTAACAGACTAGTCACTGAAGGACAGTAGGTTTGACGTTGTTCTAAAACTCACTTAACTTTTTACAATATCTGATAACAGAACTTTGATTTTGAAGTAGAGTTTTATTATGTACAATATGGTAAGCTTTGAAACATTGCCTCACCACTTGCACCACTTTCAAACATATGGAGAAGGGAAATGGGCCTCATCATGCAAATATTCAAATAGACCCACTGCATAACAGACATAATAGGTATTGAGAACTGGCCTTAGATTAACTAATAGGTCAATAGTCCAAACGTGAACAGAAATAAGTGTTGTAGAAACTTGACTAGGCTCACTATTTGCAAAGCATATTGGAAAGAATATACTTAAAATATGATGGAAAATAATTCTGCAGGCTTGCTTACAAAAAGTAAAATATGAAACTGCTTTGTTTCTTCCATAGAATAATTACAGTAATCATATTTCTGAAATTCCATCCTATAAATTGTACCGTCTATGATATTAAAGAGATCAGAGCAGCATGCATTTTCCAGCTATCTACATGATTTTGTGTAATTATTTTGAAATTTCAATGACAAACAGAAGTACTTATTAATTCCTTGAGAAAAATTTGACTCAGGGAGACCTATAATTATGAGATGGAAAATCAGAGTAAATTGTCACTCTAAAATGTTTTTTTGTGTGCGAAATAAGCAGAAAAAGATGCACAACGTGTATGAAATGGTAGTTTTATTCCCAAGAAAGAAGAAGATTCAATGAATTTCTTTTTAAAGTTCTCATACAAATGAGAAGTACATGGACACTGAAGTACCCTTTTTTTGGTGTTTTATGATACAGTGATGAGAAAGGGGATTTGATCAGGACATTACTGCTCATCTTCCTTTTTCCACACAGCTCCGACAGTTTCATAGTTTAAAAGCTACAACGAATATAGAAATAGAGGTTCCATTAGACATTCCAAAGATTCATGCCACTAAGTCATTGCATGATTTAAAAAATAGAAATCCCTTTTCTGTGCATCTTCAAATGCCCAATATTTTCTGAATTTACAGGTAGCATGGGACTGCACTTCTCTGTTGTGTAATTCTCGTGTATGTGCCAATGGCTGTGGAAAAAGCTTTCAAAGTAACTTATAAATCACTCGGATTTCAAAAAATGGCTCAGAAATGAGCCAAATATTCAGCTCCTCCTCTCCTTGATCACCAGTCCCATTTCATTACCTTTGGCTGGGAGACACATTTATTTGTTGATTGCATGCAGTTTTTAGGTGCTACTGGATAGATCAAATTCTGCTAGACCTGTACCTGAGATCGGGTGGCCTAAGGGGCACAAGGGGACCTACGCCAACATTGGTCCTTTTTTCTCCCCTCCCCTTTAATTGGCTTTCCTAAATGAGAACTTAGACAAAAAAACTGAACCACAGGAAGTTCCATCTGAACCTGAGAAAAAACTTCTTCACTGTGAGGGTGACAGAGCATTGGAACAGGTTGCCCAGAGAGGTAGTGGAGTCTCCTTCCCTGGAGATATTCAAAACCTGTCTGGATGTGATCCTGGGCAATATGCTCTAGGTGACCCTGCTTGAGCAGGGAGGTTGGACTAGATGATCTCCAGAGGTCCCATCCAACCTAAACGATTCTGTGATTCTGTGAAAAATCCTTCAGTGATGGCCAGGGATAGAACTGATGGAAAAATACTTTATTAACCTGTGGGAAATTTTAGTATATGTTATCATACTAGATCAAGAAAAAAAATTGCCTTTGGCTTGTAATAGTCATGGAAAAGAGATAAGAGATCATAGCCCTTTCTTATTCCTCAGAAAGAAAATTCTACTTTTTTTTTGAACACAATTTTTCTTTTTTTCTGTTTGTTTATAGTTTAGATGAATTGGGAGGAAAAGGCGGATAGAAAGCCTAATGTTTACTGGTTATTTGTCTTTATCAAGGCGTTTTATCCTGAAAAGCCTGTTCTTTGTGTTGCACAGCGTAAAAACTGAAAGTTTACTGAAAATGGAAAGTCTCTGTCAAGCGATGTTGTCATTAAATCAGGAAGGTCTCTTTGTTCTTGACCCTGTGAACTCATCATTAGGCTGGTAGGGATACCAGTGAATCTCAGGGGCTTTGCTACAGATTCTGATAGGTCTGTTTACAAGAAATGTGAGTTGCTATGTAGGTGATCTGTTAAGGACCAAGTCCAAACTAAGCCTAATAATAATAATCAAAAAATCTGTGTATGCAAAATCCTTTAAAATGTTTTCTAAAAATCTCCTTGTTACTTTAGAACTCTTCTCCTTTGCCCCTGCAAAACTCTGAGCAGTTACCCCTTGAGACCTGCATCTTAGCTTGCCTATCTGAGTGAAGCCCATTTGACCTTTTAAAAATAGCTGAGTCTACCTCATGAGGCAGTTTCTTTGTTTACACTACTGGCTCTGTTTAAGTCAGTAGGTACGGTGCAAGATACTTGAGAGCAGGATACAGCCCAGTGCTTTTCAGGAGAAGCAATAAGAGCTATGTCCATAATTAGGGAGGGACTTTCCCTCCTGCTATGGTGCAGGAAGAGGGTTGTGAGGGTGGAGGCAGCATCTCCAGATCTCTCTCTCTGAAGTAGAATTGAGCAATTAAAACCAGATGGAAACAGAATGTAATACTTAGGCAACTTACAGAGAATTTGAACTTCTTCCACAAAGCAAGGTGAAGTGGGAAAATGGTACAGTTAACCAGATGAAGTAGAGCTATGGGCACTTGCCTCTTATGTAATACTGAAAGTATTGCTTCATACCCATTACCTGATTCTCAGCTGGTTATCACCAGTGCAAGGTGAGGATGATTACAGAACCTCTTTGCAGGAATCTGGGATTAGAGTTTTTAGAAACATTGAATAGTTATTTCAACTGTTATATATTCCTTAGTATTCTTAAAATTACTATCACTGCTAAAGCATATCTAACACAGTAAGTCTTGGATATCTGTTTAATGGGACAGCAAAATATGGTAGAGAAAAATGTTTCTTGTACAAACTTTTTTATACCTTGAATATATTGAATATATTTAGAGGAAATAAGTATTAACATATCTACAATAATTACTTATGTTTTAGCATGATAGCTTTATGCATTTAAAATTGTTTCATAGACCTAAAGACAACTTTACTATCGGTCATTCAGATATTTTGGAAAACAGATAATTAGAGCTTTTATAGTAATCAACTACTGCTAGGTCCAAATTTGGAAGGGAAATTTTTGGAATTAAAAACACATCAGGTGTGTGGCATCCATAACTCCTAAACCTCTGAGCTTGTGCTGTTTGAAAAGTCAGGCAAAACTTGGTCTGAACTTGATTCGTTTAAAAAGTAGTCATGGATTCTGTATACAGCATGACCTCGCCAGATAACAGGGCTATTTTGTAAATCTGGTCATGTTTTACTGCATTCAGTAAAATGGCCAGAACATGGTTTTGCTGTGCAGGCAGAGCAGGTGGTCACCTACAGCAGTAGTGATTGAAGGTGAACAAAATGTTTTACTCCTTATGTTTACCTAGGAAAGATGGGCTTCTCTTAATCTGGCTGTGGCTGAGAAAGCCCTGTAACTTTCACACTCCGGATGATCTATTTTAGACATCTTGATTCTTGTTTGTGCTGCTTCTTGGTGTGAAAATCATCTCCAGCAAAGGCTGCCTTTCTTTTGGGTGCATGGATAAGTCATTGTTTTTCTGGATGTTGTTAAGGCCTCTTCCTTTCACTGTCTGTACTTTGCACCGTCTCAGAAGAGTTACCAGAATCGCTTTCATCATTACCATGGCAATAAACTTTCCTACACAGCCCCGAGGGCCAAATCCAAATGGTTGGAAATAGCGTGAAGGAACCTGCATAGAACAACATGAGGGGAACAAAATTTTAAAACAAATTTTTCTTCAGAAAAATAGCCAAAATTATGATGGAAATCTGTAATAAATATTTTCTGGGAAAACTTGTGGAAAGAATCTCTTTGGAGCAATTACTTTGTTCCTTATACCCGAGTTATTTCTTGACCACGTGTACTATTGCTTTGTTTTTTCTTACCCTTTATGCTGAACACCCCCTTTTAACTAAGTCAGGCTAAAATACAGAAATACCTACAAGGGACATGCCATTTTAAATACTAAGATAGCAGGAAATGTAGAGTTAAGCAGCTGACTTCTGCCCATGTATTTTGATCTGTTCATCCAGTGAACTACAAGGGATCTCACCCCAAGCTGTGAAATGGAGAAACGCTTTAACATACATTCTAGTTCATTAAGAACATAAATAGTTCATAAAAAGTTCATAGATGTCTGAGGTAAAGGCTGCTGTCTTGTCCAATGATAATTAAAAGGTTATACACATACAATTGCCATTAAAAAGCTAGTTCCTGTGAATTAATTTGTCATATAACAAAGAAAATTTTGATTAACATCTAATACGGAGATAATGTTTATAATTCCTGTTCTATCAATTAAAATGTCAAATGTAGGATTCTCAAAACGGCTGAAGAATGCACAGCCAGCTTCTGCTGCCTTTACTGATGTTGAACGGATCAGTTGTGCAAAGCAGTCCTAACAATGTGAATAAGACTGCTGATAGGAAAGCTACTTGTTATGAATAAGAAAAATTGTCTGGCTGTAACTAAATTAATTTTCTTCATTTATGTAATTAAAAAAAGTAATTTGCTAGCTGTGTACTTCTAGTTTTCTATTTAACCCAAGAATTTAGTGGGAGAGGTTGCTTTGTACTGAATTATTTGAGAGAGTTATCCTTTTTTTTTTTTCTTCCTTTACAGTCCCAGAAAAAACATCCTCTGTTTAAATTACTTCAAATAACAAACTGAGATGTGCTTTGTGATGAATGATAGGTAAATACGAATGTTCCTAATACGGAGCAGTATAGCAGCTGGCAGTACAGCACAATGGCAAAGGCGCAGCCTGGAAAAATGGAAAAATATCTAGATTCTAACAATGCAATCTTATTATAAATAATGGTGTGGATTGCTATTCACTTAGAGAACTGAGTGGAAATTGTTCCTACTAGAATAATTATGTGGCAAATAGAATACATCAAGTCAGATAGAAAGTACGTGTGTAAATACTTGGTCAAGGGGAAATATTTTTAGCAGCAAAGTATGCTTATAAAATAAGCAAGAAATCCATTTTGATAGAAATAGCTGGAGTGAAAATAATGGGCAAAACTGAGGAAATTATTCACAGTGAATAGTTTAATAAACTTAATCGCTTATCCTCCTCTTGGATTTTCTACGATGTCTTTTTTCATGATTTGTTGTTTTTAATACTCTGTGCAAATTGCTGTGGGTAATCAACTAGCAGTTTAGAAACATTAACCTTCTTTAGTTCTGACTCTGTGTGTGGCATACATGGTACCTGTGGTTTTTTGGCAGGATAAATGTCAAACTTGGAGGCATGTTTCTGGCTTGAATATTCACATCTTGTTTCCTTATTCTCTTAATTATTTCTTCAGTAAGCCCATTTCTGGAGTATCAAAGTAGGTCATCTATTTATTTCTCTAAAACAAATCAATATTTATGGACACTAATGCGTGCAGCTTCTAACATCTTTAAAAAAATAGTGTTGCTAGGTAACAAAATGATTTCCAGGTTCTTTTGGTTAGACAAATGAGAGCTGTGAAAGCGACGGGAAGCTTAACGCTTTTAACTTCAACCCCGTTCAACCTTAGTATTTGACGGGGGCCACTAGAAAATACAAGATAAAGCTTGCATATTGGGAAGATCTGTGGATTTAGGATAGTAAAGCTTTCTCAGCTTTCTGCAGTTGAGATTCCCTTTGTAGGCCTAAACTGATTACTCCCTCCACTTCTGCATGGCTCCTGGTCCTAAGATCTTGCTAATTGCCTCAGAGGAGCACTAACCAAACCTTAATATTTCATAATTCATGCTGTCTGTCACTTGGATTGCAGTACCGTCCGTTTCCATTTGCACTAGCTAACTAATCAGACTTAGAGTGGGGTCAGTATACCATCTTTCAGTACATTTTTAAATCACTCCAGATGGTTATTACTGAACAAATATGTTTTTCTAAAACAATTGCTAATAATCAGAACAGCAAAGTTCTGAATGAAAGAAAAAAATCTAGAGGACAAGTTACAGTAGTAGGGATTACAAAAAAAAAAAAAGGTGATGTTGATATAGGACTCAGTTCTGCAGGCTAAAGAAAGTTCTAGTGCTGTTGGGACTTCAAATAAAACTTATATTAAAATGTTGTGCTGAACTGTGACTGAATTACTCAGCATTTCCAGTACTGAGCTGATTAGAACTCAGGATTTCCATTTCAGTCCATAAAGGATATTTATTTTCTTTTAGGAAAAGTAAATAAATTTCTATTTGAATAGAATGGGCCAGCTAGATTTTCCCTCTCTCAGGAGTTACTGTACCACTTCGCCTCCCCAGAGATTCCTCATACTGACTCAGCTCTGTGTACTCCTTGCATGGCTCTAGCTCCCTAAAGCCTCCTCATATTTTCCAATACGAGGGGATGTAATGGAAACTGTGCGTCTTGGACACGTTTCAATAGAAATTTGTAATAAGAATTAAGGTGTCTGGGAAATTCTTAATTTTCAATAACATCATTCTTTTCCAGTTTAAAGACCTTGGTAGGAAAATTTCCTGCCAACTCTAACAATAAGAGCAGGATGTATAGCTAGTTAGGCATTTAGACAAAGGGTGAACAGACTAATGATCAAAATAAGAGGAGGATACATTTTTCAGTAAGAAATAATACCCCATCTCCTGTAAGAAAAAAGACAGAAAACTTACGTTCTTCTCAAAATTTTCAAGAGAAAACTCATCTGGCTTTGGGAAGAATTCAAGCTTATGCATGCGTCCAATATTGAGAATAATGTTTGTCCCCTTTTTCACAGGATAACCATCAATTACATCATCTTGTAAAGCTTTTCGCATGATCAAGTCCACAACTGGCTGGTATCTCATGCTCTCATAAATAAAATTCTCCACAATTTTTAAGTTTGGCATATCATCACTCTGTATGTCTCTGTCACCTTAAGGAATAAAACAAATAGTGAAGAAGTTGTTTATGAATTCCGCAGCTTCATCATGCAAATACTAAAACGTTTTTGGAAGATTGTCAGCTCTGTGCATGGTAGGTAGGACCTAATGGCTTCCAAGTAGCTAGGTATGGGCTTACATACCAGGGAAATCTGCTATATTGTTTATCAGTACAAGCCCTAACTTAATAACCTATGATCTGCTCCTGAGCTCTTCTTTTTTATACATTATGAGTCTGTCTTGCTTTCTTGTCAATAACAAAACTCCAAAAGCCCTTCTCTGGCTCCATGAGCCGCATACCCATTCCTTCACGTGACTGAGAGCAATGAGATGCAAACCAAAATCTTTTGAGAAATGACAGTAGGTGGAATCTGGGAATAGTTTACAAGTGGGAGAAAATGACTTTGTAGGGAACTTACGTTTTCACTGTATGACTGGGCTTTCCTGGCTGTATAGCTAGGTCCTAGTGTGATCTGGCAATTTCAGTTAGCTTGAGTAACTTTCTCTTGGCTCGACTCCTTCAGCAGCAGCGCCAGTTCAGCCTACCAGCAATGTGGCATACTGCTAGTGTGTCACCTCACCTAGTTACACGCTACACGCAGCTCAAGAGCTGCAGATTGACCACTGCAGTGGTAGGTTTCTGAGGTAAAAAGTTACCTTTCCTACCCGAGTTGGTCATTTGCTGAAGCAAAGACAACTATGTTCTACTGCCTTCTCATTTCAAGGCTGTCAGAAAGAAATAGCGAAAGTGAATAAGAAAGTAGTCAGCTCCTATGACAATAAAATGTTATTTATTGTTCTCAGTGGAAATGGAAACAGCATTTCCCTGCTCTTTGATCAAATAAAATCAAACCTACTCTTAGTGCAGATCATTGATCTGTTTTGCTTCCATATAGCTTGTCTCCCTGTAATATCTATAGTCCTTCCAGAAACTTTTAGACTCTTTTCTACTGATGCCTGCAAAAAAATAACCCAAAAAACCTGCCTACCAGCTAAATTTTCTTCAGAAAATTCCTGAATGCCTTCCTTGTCCAGCTCTGCATTTCTAGAGGTACTACATTATATTTCCAGAGATTTTGATTCCCAAAAGGAAAATTTTGAAATCTCTAGAGGGTTCTTCACAAATGGAATTACCATTCTTCACCACCCTCTATTCCTTTAAGTTCAGGAAACTGCAAATCTCTTATATTATATTTTAGGGAGCTGTTGAATTAGTGCCGTCTTAGTACTTTTTCCGTTACTTTCTTACTTTTCCACTGAAATGTAAAGTAATAGTTTTGAAATGTAAAAAAAGTGATAGAATTTATTGATGTCTTGGCAGTTTCTGGAATGATTTGAAATCTGAACTGTAGAAAAAATAATTTGTAGTTCTTGCTTTTTGGTCAGTTACTCAGAAGTATTTCTTTTTTTTTAAAAAAAGACTTAATGTAGTCTGGTGTTCATTGTAGGCTCTCTCAGACGAGAATGTTTATAAAATCAGAGACCTTTTCGCACCGAAGCAACAGTGCAGCAAAGGCTAGATGTTACTCTATGAAGTTAACTATGTCAGAGACTTGTAACTGATTAAGTTAGTGCTATCTTTAAAAGAAAGAATCCTTGCTTCCTGAAGAAAATACTGATGTGTAAGAAATTGTAAGAGGCAGTTTATTTTAGCAAACTTTGAAATACTCTGGCACAGACAGATTTTGCCTGAGGCATTTTATAGTGGTGGGTCTGAGTCTGACTTTTGGAATTGTGTTGCATCTGAGTGGTTTTACAAAGTCAAGCACAGTTGTGAAAAGAACCATTTCAGCTATAGATTAGTGCAGCTTCTTGCTGCTCTTGTGGCTTACAGGATTTAACGTTTTTGTTAGCGTCAGCAAGCTAATACCATACTTCAGTTTGCTAAATTCAAGGTTATATGGTTTCAGGCCAGTGAGAAAAACAGCCTTCTACAAGACAGAAAGAAATACTGTTTCCTAGCTCAAGAGGGAGAATGATGACAAAAAAATTTACTAAAGTTTTAGGATAGCGTTGAAAATATTTTCAAAATGAATGCAGCTCTTTGATTGTAATTAAAAGTTAAAGTACCTTAGCAAAAGGGCAAATGATTTGTTACGCGCTTTTCAGAGTCTGTCTAACCACAGGTAAGAAGAGAAGTTTGGAATATTTTGACTGTATTTTGAAAGGCTGGTTATTAGCGCTTAAAGAGGACCAGTTTGAGATTAAAATGGGATGAGAGTAGAATATGATATGACAATTTTAATTTTGCTTAATCTTTCTATTCTGCAGTCATAGTGAAACTTAATTGAACATGTTCTATATATACATAGGGAAATATTGATGATTAGAAGTATCTGAAATGAGTTTTTCCTTTTGCTGCTGCAAGGTAAATTGAGAATAATTTCACTGAAACTTATGAGGTGACTACTGATTTGCACTGCTGTTCCTGAGGGGTGAATTTAGCACAATCTTTCTAACAGATTGTCAATTCTGTTGATTCCTATATGAAATTATCTTAAAAATAGTTCATCTTCTTTCATTTACTCTTGAATAAAATGTCTTCTACATATAATGGTAGTTAGTATACTTTGCAGTAAATAATTGTGTTAGAAGAAAATCTTAGAATTTTCAGCCTTGGATAATGGAAATCAGATCACTGCTGAAGCAAAACTGTATTCCAGTATCACAGACTTTGCAGCATCTGCTTACCCATAACAGTTTCAATTTCTCTTATCATCTCCTCTTCCACTGTGGGATGCTCTGCAATCAGTATTAGCATAAAGAAAAGTGTCACAGATAGAGTGTCAGGAGCAGCAATCATCATCTCCAGCACACACTGGTTCACATTCTCGGCAGTCAGATCTCCTCGGTTCTGAAAAATTAAAATTGATTACTGACTTCTGATGACAAAAAGTCTTATAGCAGTAGGAAGAGAAGGATCTAGAATATATGCCTGAAATAAAAGTAGAAATCCTGCCCTTCGATCCTATATGCTAAATAGCACTTACATGTTGTCTTTCAGATAAAAAACTGGAAACTCATGCTTTGGGTGTATATGGTCTTAGGGAAAAGCAAAGACTTATTCTTAGCTCAGATCTTTATTGATTTGTTGCCTTTCCTCACAAAGTTTTTGAGCTGTCAGGGATTACGCAGAGTTAGAGTTTACATATAATTTGGTGCCTTTGTGGACAAAAGGTGATATACCGAGATAAAATACAGGGGTTAGGGAGAGACTGGAGGACATTTGCAGACAGATTCCCTAAATATTGTTTAAGCCATTTGAAACAAACAAACAAACAAAACAGACAAGCACTTATTCCTGAAGATGCAACTGTTCACTGTTTGAATCACTCTTAGGGTTTCCCCAGGACTAAGTAATTTGTATCTCTTTAAGATTACATGACTTGCAGATAGACGCGCTGACTTGAGCTGCAAATCCTGTATTGTTAGTGACAGGTGAATGTTAGAAAGATGAAAATGATCAGTATTTTGAGTACATTGCCAATACCTGTGCAAAAATCAGCTGGGATGCAAAGTCCATGTGATCATCTAACTTTTCAATAGTGGAGAGCTTTTGTCGTTTCTGTTCTATTAAGATTTCCATTGCGCCTTTCAAATCCTTGCTGAAATTAGATAAAATCCATATCGGTAAATATCTGCAGACTTTTAGTATATGGTAGGATATGATCAGAAACTTAGAGATTATACCAATAAAAACATCTAGGAATGGAAGAAACAATATTCTGAGAATGGTTATATGGCTCTCTACAAAAGCAGTAAAACAAGGCAGATTGCCTCTGTAATTCAAAAAAAGTGATTGCTGCTCTTGTAGTGAAGTCAAAAGAGCATTGAATTGCTGCGTTACAAAAAATAACATAATTGTAGGATGTATAATTGCAGATACTCCAGCAAAGAATAAATAGAACAGTACAAATACCCTAGTAGTAAAAAACTAAGACTTATGTTAGCTTTGAAAAAAATATTTCACAAGGAATTTCACAAACTGACTTCATACTGAGGAAAGCTGTATTTTCCTTTATTTGTTACAAATTGATTATTTATTAGTTTTGACTGAAATCTTATTCTTTTTTAATATGGGAGAGGTTGAAAGGGATGAAAAACGTCTACACATCCTATTAATGACTGGAGGTTTTTAAAAGAGTTACTAATGGTTTTATTTTATACTGTGTTTTATTAACACTTAGTGAATAAAATGTACCTAGAGAATGTGAAGGATAACTGTTAGAAAAATGTAGAGAAAATGATACATCTGACTCTCCTTGACTAGGTAGCAAACGTAATTTTGCCCCATAAGGTGACTTTTCCTTGCCTGTTTGAATTGAACCAGTTATTTCAATTTAATTTCGTACTTGAACTGGCATTAACTAATATTTTGGTGAGTAAATTAGAGCTGAATAGACAAAGGCTTTAAACGATCCCCTCAGGACAGCCACTTGTAGCACCAGTAGCAAATCTTGTTCTGTTGCTGTCTTGGGTCTGCAGATAAAGTGGACTTTAGCCAGGCACCTTTGCAAGTTTCCCAATTTATTTTCTAAAGAAGTAGAGCAAAATATTAAGGAAGATTTTCCTAGAAAGAATGAATCTTACTCAAACGATCTATAAAACTGGTGGTACTCACACAGCCTCTTCATGTTTCTTACACAGCCAAGAAATCTTAAAAAAGATATCAGGCTTTAATAAAAGTGCTTGCCACGCATCAAAGTAGTTCTGAATCTTAAGCACGATGGCACTTTCTGAAAATAGAAGTTAACAAACAGCATTACAAAATGTAAACTTTAATAGCTAAATAAAACAAACGCTTCAGAAAAATTAACGAGTCTCTGCTCCTGCTTCCACTAGGTTCATGAGAATTCGATAAAAGTTTTGTTTTAATATGTGGTATATACCACATATAGGAAACAATTGTAACACACTGCAGAAAAGGTACAGTTGCCTAACATGTAAAAACTCACGTTAGGCAGCTAAAAGGAGCCAGTGGTGTGGCAACCAGAGCCAAGTCCTCTCCTGTGGGAGTGCAGAAGTAGAATTCTATTACAGTATCTTGAAATGGGATAATCTACACATCATGATAAGATTATTTTTATCAAATGTTTTCAAGAGTGAAGAAAGAATAGAAGGTTGAGAAATAGTAAGGTGAACTTTCCAAGGCAGCTATTTAGCTAGGTGGAAAGATTTCTGATTCTTACATGCATATAATGCTGAGATTGTACTCACCCAGTGCGTACAAATCTCTGTAGATGCTACTGTTTACTTAAGATGAGTATGACAAACTGAATACATATTTTTGATAACATAAAATTCTTTCATGACTAGAATCACCCATCATTAAATCAATTTCAGTTAATAATTCGATAATCTAAGAGCCTGCTCATGCTCTGTTTTCTGAAACAAAATTTTGGAGTGATGTCTATGAGAAGTTTTCCTTGGATATGCACTTTAGATCCACAATAAGGTATAAGAATAAAGCTGCCAGTACCATCCAAAGGAATCCCTAGAAAGAGCTTGTTAGATGTGTCAAGCATGATCCGTCTCATAAGATTCAACACATTGATGTTTCCCATTTCAGTGGTCACTTCTTCCAGCTTGTCCAGGTGATCAGTTGTCGATTCAACACAAATTGCTATCATACGCACAAGACCAGGACCAGATAGCGCTGAAATACATATGCAAAATGGTCAAAAGACTGATGGATTTTCATACCTTTTTAATAGCTTGTCTATTGACAATAAAGTTGCCAATAAAATGTAAAGCATTATAATCTAAGTGACTGGAATATCACTATTCTGAAACTTACTAATTTAACATCCTTTGGAAGAAAAATGTAAACATTTTGAATTAAAATGGCAAGGAACTCAAAGGCAAAATTTTGTTTGCGTCTAGACGGTTTGTGTCTCAGACACGCTTTTTTTTGCAAGGCTCACACTATGTTAGAGAAAGATATGTCATTTGTGCTACCTAAGGGCAGCCAACATACCCCTATCTGCTGTACAGATGTAGTGGACATCTGGTCTCATTTACTTGCAGTGACACTGAGCAGGGAAGTTAGGCTGGGGATTCACTGGGAGGACCACTGGAGTTTTGGAGAATATAACTTTTCGGTGTCCTTAAACAGCATGGCAGCTCTGCAGTAAGCTACTTGGAACCTCAAGTGCCTCTGTGGACACAGTGAAGCCTGATCTGTCAGTATGCTGTGCTTTGGCCAAATGTGGCCACCTATGGACAGTAGAGATAATGTCATGATGGTTCTATTAAGTTTTAGGAATTTCCGGCTGGAAGAGGTTTAGATATTTTTTTGAGTGATTTTCAAAGTCTTGGCCTAAATACTCTATTTAAATTACTCCTCCATACAAGAATTGCTGTAGTTGCCTCATATATGTTATTTATCAAATATATGGAGAAAAGTGTTGTGTGCTTGTAACTGAGAAGAGGTGATCGATGTTGTAAATACAAGAGAACAGATTGTTCTAGGAATGGGTAGAAAAACAATTTTTTTTCCTGCCATCTTCAACCAGCACAAAATTGCTGATATTTTTCAAAAGCAAAATCAAGTAGGAAATGCCTAAGTGTCAGACAGAAGCCCAGACACCAACAAAATAATACAGAAAACTTGAAACAACAGATTATTACTTTCTTTAAGATCTTATGCCATTTTACTTTCCTTATGCAGTTTCTAGAATTGCTATCACAAGCTATTGCAGTCTCAGCTGGTGAAAATCTTTCCTGAACTGTGAAGTTTACAGAAAAACAAAGCAATGAAGTGTGATTTTTTTTTTTTTTAAGGAAAAAAGTTACATCATTGGAAGTAGCTAATTCTAATGATCTGCAAACACTGTGAAAACTTCCAGTTTGTGGAAACAGGGTGAGTCCAGAAATTGCAGATTAAAATAGTAACACTGCAGGTTGTAGGATTGTTATGTAGTTTCCTATTTGAGTTCAAACTGGTTATATTAGATAAATCTTTTTATTTCTTATTTAGGCCTGTTACTATGTTGATTCGTAGTATATTAAGTGGATTAATAAATAGTGCTGCTGTGCAGATCATTTAAACTTATTTTGAAACGGTAAGCACATTTTTTTCAATTAGCGCAAGAGAGAAAATTCTTTTAACTCATTTGAACCTGGGATAGGAAGTGTCAAAGAGACTTATATATGTCTGTTGAGCTAATACGAACGCTTGACTTTAAATGTAAAAACATTTAAAACTGGCTTGTGGACATCATTTAATTTTGTTTTTATCAGAAGGGATTAAGAATCTGCAAAACTATTTCAAGACCGTTTCAAATAACATACCAGGCAGGATGAGTGTGAAAGAGCACGTGCAATAAAATACTTGTGGGATGTGTAAAGAGCGAACCTCTTTCTATAATTTGATTATGAAAATAACAAACAGCGTTTCCAAAAAAGTAGACTTGTAGTAGACTACAAGTAGTGTGCTAAAGTGATGCAGTATGTTAATGGACACTGATTTACCTTTGGTGAAATAGGGCCGAATTTCTTTCCAGTGTGCTGGATTGTTATTAAATATTATCCCATTTTCATACATGCCAATGCATTGTAGTCCAAGCTTACTCCCAAATCGAGAAACATAGTGCCAGTGTTTCATTACGTGGAACACGCTTGAGGATCTGGAAAAGAAAAGGGATATAAAAATAAAATAAAATAAAATAAAAGGTTGTTTCATTAATATATATGGAATTTTTATTTGGACATGCTGTACTTGCTCTGAAGTGCTGACCTGCTCTTTTGAGACAGTAGTCTCGGTTTAGCAGGCGGTACGACACTTGACGTTCAATGTTGTTCCTTCTACATGGTTAAAAAACTTGACAATAAAATGATTTCAGAATTTATAGTAGAGCAATAATGTATTCCGTGAGGGTTCGAACCTGTTCCCGTTTTTTTAATGAAAATGCAAATGGCTACTATAAGATTTTAATCTCAACAGTGTATATACATAGACACTCAGAGAAACATGAGATATACTGTAAGGAAAAGGCCGATGTCAGATATTTCAGAGGATGAGGTAAAACATTTTAATAATATTTATATATGATTACTGTACAGTGGAATTTTTTTCTAACCTGTGGTCAGTGCTATTAGGTTTTTTTTTTGATATTTGATTTATGATTCCTTAAAAATTTCTGGCAAACATATGGAATTCAAATCTACTGACAGTTGGTGTGCTTTTTAAAAACACTAGAGAAATACTCCTCAGACCTCAGGTGCTCAGAACACAGGTTGAAAACCACTACCATGGAAAGTTACAGATTGTATTATGAACTGAAACATGAGGCCTGATGTATGTATCATGTAAAGGGTAAGGCAGTGTAACTGAAGACAATGTGTTTAACATTCATATAGGTTTCTAATCCTCTTATGCTAACATTGCAGTTGATTTCCTTGATTTCCCAATTGATTGCTTCCATTTCCAGAAATGCTAAACATTGCATACTACCAATTTCCCTTATCCTTGGCAAACATTTTAGGAGGAAGGGTATATCCATACATATACCTATCCATACATAGAAATTAGCTGCAAGTAACTTGTCCAAAAATATGACATCTTTAACTTCCTTAGACCAGAAAAAATATTTTTCATGCTTGTAGGCAGTGACTGGGCAGGTTTTAGGGAATGTGCTTCCTAATTTTCATTCGAATGTCTTAAAGGAGCACAGACAAATTCTGTTCATCTTGATGTTCTCAAGTATGTGTGTTATACAGGCTTCAGAGTTGTTCTTTGATGATTCAAAATTATTTATTATGCAGCATCATAATATTAGCATTATTCATACATACAAATACTGAATTGAAAAAGAAACTTTGTAATACCAAACATTTGGAATAAATATTCCTAAATAGAAATGTAGGGAAATTCAGGATATGTACCTTTTTTTTGGATGACAAAGTTTATTTAAATATTACTGCTTGTGACCAGCATTATTGCTTTAAAATATAATTTCCTTTAGAGGGAGCTAGCATCTTAGAAATGCTGGTCTGATAACAACATGATCAAATCAAAGCTAACAAACAGAAGTAAAATTGTGTAAGCCTAGATTAAAATTATACAGTAAGCCACTTTCTATACCATGTGATGTACTCCATGAATGAAATCCCAGATTTCTTACACAAGGTTAACTTATTCTTTAGCTAGGCAATGTCTGCCAGCTTTTCACTGTAGTTTTGCATGAGCAGAGATCAGTTAACGCCGATATGCTAAACAATACAAATGAATCAACAGAAAGTAAGGATTCGAGTAGAAACAGAGAGGAGTGTGCCTGCAGCTCCACCCTTCCAAGCTGCTGAGTGTATTCTCTTTTTACTATACTTCCCCACGTTTGCTTTCTATTCTAATTTTCTTACAGGCTTTTGGACATCAAAGAACATAATCTCATGAAACATTTCATGAACATGAAAACAGGGCCTTGAATTATGATAGCCATCCCAAGAATGGAAAGGTGGGGGAGGCTTGTTTTACTTCCTTCCATTCTACATTTCTACAGGGGAGATATATTGTAAAGTATTAAGGAATGATTTTGAGATATGACCTTATATAAGTGTGTATTCCTTACAAAAATTTTCAGTGACATCCTCCAAAAGACTGTGTGTGACAAAAACTGCAAATCCTTATCTGTATGCATTATACCTCAATGTAAGTACAACTGATGCTAAAAATTCAGATGATACCAGTAGAAACAGTATACCTTTACTGAAGTCAGGCTGTGTTTAATTTTGCAATGAATTTATAGACCACTCTGGAAACTTGATTCTATGTTATTCTTAAAAATGTTAAATGTCAAAAATGTTAAATACTAGTTCTCCATGTGCTGTCAACGTTTTTAAGCAAAAATGTGTAAAGAAAAGTGATATATTGACCATAAAGTCCGAGGCATCTATGGCATTATTTTTTACTAGCATTTCTGATGAGTTGCTAGTCAGGTAATACAGAAAGTGTAAGAGTTATAACAGCTTACATGATCAATGATATATGTTATATTGTTATAACATTTATATGATCAAAACATTGTACAGACATTAAATAATTAATCTTTATAAAACCTGTGTAGGGTAGGAAAGTAAATAGTTTTCCTGTCATGATTGCCTCCTTTTACAGAGGTAAAAACAGATGAAGCTGACTTGCCCAAATCTACATGGCAAATCCTGTGATAGACACTTCCATGCTGTATTATCTTTCATAAGCTTTTAGTAATGAGAGAGCTGAATATGGATTGGTATGCTAATAAAAAGATTGTGATTCTTTCCATTATGCATGGAAAACATTTTGTTACTTTTTTTGTTCATGGCATGATTCATGAGCATCCAGAAGATCAATGCGAAAAGAAAGAAAACTTCCACTGGAGATAATAAAGCGATAGACTGCAGTTTAGCATTATGTTTAAAACTGTTTATAATCAAAGTCTGCAATTAGCCCCATTAATTGCAGTGGAATTATTCACAATCCTGTAATACTGCATTTGCTTAATTACCTTGCTGAACTGCAGCCATTATCATCAGGTATTACTCTTATTTTAAGGAGAACCTAAATAAGAACAAAGGAAACTAAAGACTGGCTTAATTCTGCATTGCAGTCAATTAGTCTAGGTTCCTCTACGGTGTATAATCCCAATATTACACAGAACAGTGAAAGAGACATTAAACATTTTTTTAGGATTGGCGCTATAACGCTTGATCTTCCATTCCACTAATGAAACGAGAGAATCCACATAGACTTCAAAGGTAAAGTCTTTAAAAAACTAAAAGATTAGAAAAAGATCTGTGAATAGCAGAAAGTAAAAGGTTTATGTTAAGATGATTTTTGAAAATAATATTAATTCTATTTCAGAAAATATAGCAAAAAGGTTGTAAAAATACGAAAAAGCTCTTCATATTATTAAGGAGATGAATATTTACTTGCTAATTATAAACGTTTCTTCACCGCTGATCCAAACTCTCACAAATTCTCCATATGTCTTATTGTAGTAGTTGCAGGCATTACCTACTCCCATCCAGAGAAATCTGCCATGTGAAATGAGGGGACCAATTCCCATACAGTATCCAGGCCCTAAGAAAAAGGATAAGAAAAGTATGATCTTAGCAATGCTCAGTGACAAGAATATGATCCTGAACATCACCCTTTTCAAAGGACCTTTTTTACATTACAGTCAAGGCCTGCATTGGACACTTTACATAGCATTGCCTTCTGAAGTTCTGTCTTGGAAAAATTTGCACCTTTGTTATCAAAACCTCATTTAATATCCATGGAAGCCTACAGTATATTCAATGTGCCTGCCACACACTATGTTCAATGTTTCTTTGTGCAAACTCAAATTGCTGCTTTCAGATTGCTTGCTTTTGAAGGGATAATGGCTAGATATCAGAAAGAAGAAATGATCTAGAAAAAAATGGATATAGTTTATTCATTTGTGACTTCAAAAAATCCTTTGAGTAATCTTGGCTGAATTAGTGTTTGAGTGCCATAGTAACATCTACAAAAGTCAACATCCTTTTGTTGTAATTTAATTACATTTAATTTAATTTAATTAATGGCAGAGTGAAAAAATAGAATTTTAAAGGAAATCGCATTTTAATCCTGTGAACTTATGAAAACAGCATGCTGAAGTAGGAGCTAAGAATGGAGAAAAATGCATTTAGTCAGCAAAGCGCTCAACTCCTCCTATGTCTGAGTATCAAATTTCCCTCTTAGAACTGAAAAAAGAAAGTGGATAGGGCAGGAGATAATTGGCATAGTCATCAAATTATTTTTAAAAGGAGGCTTTCCTTCTTCACTGAAAGCTCAGTTTGCCCCTTATAATGTCTGTAAAACATACATCTAACTCCATAGACAAAACAAATTAAGTAACTACAAAACTTCTGCATTTTATATTGTTTAAAAGATTTACAAGCTGCTTAAGACTTCAGCCTTTACTAATAAGAATCAGAAGAACTCAGGCGTGTTTAAATACCTGTAGATTTAAGGCAAATTAATTTATTCCTCTCTTGTCAATCCTATCAACAGACAGAACGCACAACTCTGTGAATGCATTTTCTTTTTCTCTAACTTTACAAGAATTATAGCATATTGAAGGATACTTGGAAATGATCTCCTCTCACATTAATTTTGTTCAGGTGCCGCTACATTTCTTAAAATTACTGACTAGAATTATCCCTGATTTACACCGTCAGAAGATGTGCACACTGTTCTAATTTATGCAGTGGATGTTGCACTGCACTTGTTGGAGAATAGGTTGAATCTGTTATGCTTACCATAAGGCCCCCAAAAACCTTACAGCAAGGACCCTCTGAATGGGAAACCACTTGATGTTGTCCTGTTATGGAGCATCCTCAGTACCAAACACAGGGAGAAAAATTGATAACCTAATAAAATTGAAACAATTTCCCAGCTAATACTGTTTGTTGTTAGTAAAGACAATTTGGAAATATTTAAACTTACAACATATAACAAGTAGAAGTAAAAAATGCATATGAAAATATGAACATCTAGACTTGGTTAGAATGGTATCATATTTTTCTAACGTATATGTGGTAAGGCAAAAAAATAAATGTCAGATTTATATGTAGCCAAGCTAACTTATTATGGAAGGTCTGAGTTCAAATAGAGCCTATTAGTTTTTTCTTTTACCAGTTATTTTTTAAAAAGCTGCATTATTTAAACTGACTTACTAAATTTCCTTGACATGCAATTATTATTCAGCATTCCCTTCTTGCTTAAATTTGAGAAAAAAGAGAAATGCTTTGACAGCTTTTGGGGGGTACATAGCTAAAGTTAGTTTACCTGGTATTGATGATGTTTCTTCATGATTCCATATTAGAAATAGAAAGCACATGAGAAGGAGTATGGGCACTGTGGCCACTGGCATCACATCTGGTACCAGGCTGATGATGTAGTGCATTGAATTCAGAGTTTCCAGTACCATCTTTTCCAAGGGATTCTGCTTTGCGTTATAGAGAAAAAGGTGGAAAGAGACTGAGTTTTCCAAGCTCAAAGATATGTTCAACTTCAGTTGGTACCTCACGCTCCCTTTGCAGGTCCTGTAAATGAGCAAATTAGCTCTTGTTGTAGCTTTATTTTATAATGAGACTGGACTGTTTGCCAGGACAAGCTACATCTCAAGTCAAAACAGACATGCAGCAGACGCTCTTTTTGCTTGGAAATAACAAAGCTTTCCTGACCTTGGTATTGAAGCTTAGTTTTGGATACTTTGGCTGATAGACCTTTATCTGTGATACTGCCTTGGCTGGCCAATATTGAGGTTTACTCCTTGTAAATCTCTAACCAAAACACAAGAAATTAAACTTTCAGCATGTGGGGAAGCATTGAGTGAGTTCACCTGCAAGCTTTTATCTGTTACTTACCCTTTTTCCTTCCTGTATGCCTGTAGTATTTGTTAAAATCTTTGGATTTCCAGAATAACTGCATTGTGTTTTTCAGGAAAGCGATACACTGTACCTCAGGCTGTTGGCTGAAGCAGTGTAGTTTTTGTTTTGTTTGGCTTTGTTTTTTCATAATCAGCCTTTGAGGGTAGCGTAATGTGTTGCATTTATTTATGGTTCATCTGCTAAATATTTGGAAAAATACAAAGTGTGTTGTAATAAATGGGGTCATGAGTTGCCTGGTGCCATATTTTCCTTCAGGCAGCATCCAGTACTTGGCAGAGGAAAGGAAAACCAAACCAATGGACGGGTCTGTTACGTATAGGGGAGCAGAAGGATTCTTTCAAAGTTATTTTGCATGTTTTTGAATTTAAGTCATAAAATACGAGAAGTGATTGTACCCAAGAAGGAAGATACTATGTGAATGAGAAAATGTGACTTGTTGCTTGTATCTGCACAGTAATAAATATACACCTTCTTAATAAATAAACACCTTCTTAGTTCTGATCTGACAATAGTTAGGAATAGATTTGCTCTGTTTCTTTCTATGGTAATATCTCCAGGTTGAAGGATGTAGTTTACTCAATATGAAGCTTTTGCTTGCAGCCTACTCTCACCAAGCGCTTTCTCATTTACCTTGTGCTTTGGTCTCACATTGCAGAAGAATGTACACTTTACTTTGTAGTAACTGTTAATACTAGTATTTTACTAATGCCAAGAATATGATATATGCTTTCTAGATGGTAAGACAATTGGTGTTTACAGTCTAAGTACAAAATGTATAGAGCACAGACAAAACCTGGGAAAGAGATCAAGTAGTGGTTCCAAACCTTTCAGGTACAAGTATTGCTCTGGTTTCTTGGATCATTACTAGGAAACGCTTCTGGTATTTTTCTGATCCAAAATGACCATGACACAATATGTCAGGTGACTCTTTAGAAATACACATATTCCAATAGCTAGCAGCGGACATCTTGTGTTACGTACATGGGTAATCTCCTATCTTGTACATTGTACATGCTCAGCTGTTGTACTGTCTTGCATATTCTTAAGGTTGGTTTTGCAGTCACAAGGGTTTTTTTTTTAACATGTAATGTTATTTGCTAGTGAAACTAATGCAGTGCTGCACACTAATGGTAATATTTCAAGTAAAAATGCTAGCTTTAAATTACCCTGATTACCATTGATTACCATAACAAAAGTGTGCCTGTCTGTATATGTAAATAGTTGCCTTAGTTTCAATCCCTTTCTCTCACTTTGAGTTTATAGTATCATAGAGGAAATAACTGTTTAGGCCATGCATTTTCACTTTTGTATTGCTCTTTCTCTCTGGATCTGGATAAACTTAATCTATGTAGTCCGTTGTCACCTTTGCCACACTTAGGCTCTCTGTTAGTGGTGTTTTGTTTTTTTTTCCTCTCCAAGAGATTCTGGTGTCTCAGTCTGACAGAACCTACAGGTTCTATATGGGAGTTTATGCCTCTGTGTGGTATAAAATAAACAGGCCTATACATACAAATGTCTATCTGTGAATATTAAATCTGTGGGTTAAGCCCTGCAAGGTTTCAAGGTGCTGATTTGCTTGCACAGGATGCTTTGCAAGCATGAGTCTTCCTCTTTTATTTTCCAGAAATATGTCCTGGGGTTTGATCTTGCTCTGTTCTTAGGTATTCACAGCTTAAAGTTTTCCTTTGTGTGGAAGCTCTATGATTTGACAGAGAAATGGAAGCAGATTTTAATCTTTTCAGAATATACAGATTGCAGTGCATTGGGTTTGGTGTTCTAGATTGTGCCTAAGTTCATAATTTTATGATATATTCATAAAAGAAAAAAATCTGATTTTTTTAGTATAATATGGTATCCAGTCAGTTACATCAGCTTATAATTTTTATATCCTGGATTTGGCTGTCATGTGGATGAAGGCTTTTAAAGGTACTGTGTTAAATTTGCATCCTTTTTAATACTCTTAAACTGATCTGAAACTGACTTATTTTTTAGTAAAAGTGGTCCATCAAACTCTTAAAACAGACAATTGTCATTTCTTATGTTGGTAGGTTCTTTGTCCTGTTTCAGTGATTATGATGCAAGCAGACTTCCAGGTTTTGCATTTCTAATATTCGTTTACTGAAAAAGGCAGCTCGGCCAGGAAAAAAGTTCACTTTAAAAATATTTCAGCTGAACTACTCTTCCTGTATAATTGCTTGTACTCATTGTATTATGTTAGGAATTTTCCTTGAGGTAAATTGCTCTTAATAGAAAATCAGCCAAGTAAATTTTGACAGTGACTAGTCTCTGAATAGATTGAAGATGTTTAGAAATGAAACAAAGCCAGAGTATCAATTTAGCAAGGAAGAAGCTTTGACTATTCCTGCTCATTTTGTTTTAAAATCTTGTATAGGTAGTTTTTGCCTTCCTTGCAGCAGTTTGAGGCATATGTCTAATCAGAGAGATTTGTTGGTTCTGATCAACACTTAGTTGTGTGGCGGGTGGAGGGAAACAAACTTTTAAAATCAAATAGGGAAAGGAAAGACATCTATCATAAGGAAGTGCTTTTGTGACATGAAGTAGATGGATATGCACTGTCCTTCTGGCCATGGATAGTGGTAACTTTCAGCAGCTGGGAAAACATCTGTCAGCAGAGGGCAATGTGGGGTTTTTTTGAGCTTTAAGATTTGAGTGTAAGGTACTGTGAGAAAATTGTTTTAAATACTTCCTTGCAAAAGGCGGTGTTATGGTGAATGATGATAACATCCACAGTAAACTATTGTCAATATATCTAACTAACAATTGTATTAATCCCTGTCCTTTCACCTATAGCTTTGTATCTAATGTTTATGTTAATAAAATAGCAAGAGAGTGTATCATGTTATAGAACCAGAGCTGAAAATTTCTGAGTATTCTTAGAAGGAGCTCATAAGACCACATGAAAACTCTTGAAGAGCCATTCCTGACTGTTGTAATTCTTTCCTCACCTGTTCCACCTGTCAGCAGGGACCTAGGGAAAAAAATCTGCTTCTCATTATAAATCCCTAAATGTTAGTGCCCTCTATTAGTAGCATGTGAGGCTGAATCTCAGTTACAAATGAACTTGTGTATTATTAGCATCTGAAGGAGATGACTTAGACTTAGCTAAACAGTTTGGGAAAATAAAATTAGTGCTTTTAATAGACTTATTACACACAAACGAACCTCTATTGGCTTATGTAATTTCGGTAAGTTTTTATTTTTCTAGCTAAACTGTGGTAGCCCTTCATGTCTTTTTCTAGAGGTTAGAATAGATATTGCCTCTTTTCATTCAATGGAGATCGAAGTCATCATGCAGACTGCAGAGGCTCAGCCTTCCAAAGGTAAGTATATACATTGCTTTTGTTGTGCATTTCACAATTAGAATGCTAATAACTATATAAGGAGTGGTTTTGTTGTATTTATTCTGTGGATGCTGCCTCAATGTGAACTAGTCCAGGAAGACAGCGGCTCAGGGTAGGTCTACGTTACTATTTCAGTTTACATCAGGAGTGTGCTTTGGAAGGAAACCTCCGAATCATTCCCATTAATGATGTTTCAGTTCATGTTACCGAGCAATCTCAGAACAGGCAAACAGGGTTCTTTTGGTTGAAAATAAACCAGATAATGTGCTCCAAAGCTGCATCTCTTGCATTCCAGCTTTTAATGGGTATTGAGACCGCAGGACCAAGTTAGAGGCTGTTTTGAAGTGAACCACCCTGAATTGTATGTTGTATATATTGTGTATGTTGCATTCCTGTTGGATCACAGTGCTTGCATAGCCTAAGAGGAAGCTTTGATACCTTTTGATAAATAAAATACTTGGTTTCATTAGTTTTAAGCATGCAGCTATTTTGCTGTATTGGCATTATAGCACTTCTCCTAGGATGAGAACTGTCTCTGATTCTAACTGCCTGCCAGATGTCCCTAAGAGAGCTTATGCTGAAGTTCTATATGACTGTTCTAATTTTGCCTTCAAATTGTGGATTTTGTTGCAAAATAAGCAATCCTTATCCTAGCTGTTGAATAAGAAGTCATGTATGGAACCACTGTAAAATTAGTTGCAGTTGCATGGAACCTATTGCTAGACCCAGTAAAAAGAATGCACCGTTTTGTTACATGTTTCCATTCCTTTGAAGAATTAATTAACTTGCCCTGGATGATTATCAGTAGGTGTACAGCGTATATCACATAAATAAGCCTTGAGACAAGCGTTGCTTTGTTCCCTTGAAAATCAGTGGTATTCAAAGTTGAGAATGCTTTAGAAGGTTTTTTTTTGACTTGAGAGCGCTTACCGCTCCTTGTAAACTGAGCTATAGAATTATTCTCTATCCACCTGATAGTATGTGTTTATTTAGTGCCAACCTAGAAATTGCTCCATGATATTCTGTGGTCTCTTTTAACACTATAATTCTCTCAAAATGGCGTAGGGGTGTAACTGACAGATTTTTGTCACAATTTGTTGGCTATCTGATACTGTATTACTCTCCTTCTGATATTCTTTGTCTTCAGTAACAGTATCTTTTCTTATTCATTTTTCACTTGATTGGAATCTGTGCTTCAGTGCTCCTTTGTTTAAGAGATACTCCAGATGTCATCTGTCCTATTATAAATGGCTTGGAATCTGTGTCATATTGAGCGTTTCATTTCCAGTTAGAATGTGCAATGCAGCCTTTGAAAGTTACTCATTTATATTACTTTGCGTCTGAGAACTTGTTCTTAGGTCTGAATCCTACTTATCATTCAATCTGTCTGCACCACAAAAGGAAGTTAATTATGGTAAAATGTGCAGATTAGGGAATGTGCAGATTAGGGATTTTGAAAGAATACCCTGCTTACAGTGACCTTTTTCAGTGATTCATAAAGTTCTAGTCAGCAGACTAGAATTTGTGCAGTTATAGAGATCTATCACATCTAATGGCCATGGAAATTTATTCTCGCAATTTAATAATGTTGAATGATTATTATAGTCCTGTAGCGTAATTCTGTAGCACTTGCTTACTGCAAAACTAATCTGAATGCCACTCTTGATTCTTTTGTTTAGGTTAGAGGAAGAGGGAAGGAAGAGGCAACAGCTTTCAGCAGAAGCTTGGAAGTGGGAATTTAATAATGATCATCCTGACAATTTGAAGGGGCTCTTGACAAGTAAGGGAGGAGGTGGGAGCCTGGCATATTGCTGTGGTGAGTGAGACAAAAATGCAGAACGCATCATCTATTGTGGTATTGAAAGAAGGTGCCTTTACTGTCAGATAAGAAAGATCGTTACATTTGATGTCTCTGCTGTTATTGGGAGTTGTGGTTTTCTTAATCTTGGTGAGCCTTCTTATGGCAGTGTTGTCTTGTTTCATAGCTGAATAGCATTGCTAAAGCATATTTGTCCAAACGTTTTTAGTTCTATCGGCTGCCTTCACTGTCACTTCTAAAATGCTTCTGCGTGCTGGTTATATGTTAGCGGTGGGTACCCATGGCTCATACACAACTATAAACAATACTTGGCTTTTCTTATTTACCTCAGCGGCCACAAAACTGGCTTTCTCATCACTTCTCCTACTCAAAGTAAGGTACTTTGCAAGGCACAGAGATTGTTTTAACTGCAAAACGGTTGTGTTCCTGTTATTTGTAATTCCTGTTATTTGGAGTCTGTTTGATCAATTAGTTTTCTGAGCACTGGGGGCTAATGCTAGAGTGTGGCTGGGACTTAAATGGTTAATGCAGATTGATCCTACTAATGGGGAAACAAGTATGTTAAAATATCTTCTGTGAATGTAGGAGTTCTATTTGACTCTTTAATATTTCTGTATGTTTGGATAACTACAGTAAAGACTATGCCTCCTTTCTGTGCCTTCACATGATGGTTGTGACCTTCATTGTGCTGAACTTACCATCTTTGTGTCTGCCATTCCATATCAGTTACTGGAATATGTTTTGGGTTAAATCAGAAGCTGTCACGTAGCAAACAGAGAGTCACTTACATCCGCATTTAGATTTCATGGACGAGCCAATCTGAATGAGCTCCTGTGTAATGAGCTTTGAGCTGTAATTTCTGCAAGATAATAGTCAAATTGGGTATCCTACTGACTGCTCTTCTCCTTATGATTTACCTAAGTGATTTTTCTTGGACATTAGCGCTGTAAGGCCTTCCAAAGAAGCTAATGGATTCTTTTAGTGAAGCCTTTTCCCATGCAATCAATCGACGCTTCAGTTTTCCCCTCAAGACCTATTTTTAACTCAGGCTAGTTCTTGGCCCATCCCCTTTTGAAATTTGCTTAGACTTAAATGTGATATTTCTTATGGATTTAGAACAATATGAGACTAACATAAATAAGGAGAATAAAATATAACTGCATTTCATCACATTAAGCCTCAGACTCCAAGGAGTTCTTTTTCATAGACCTCTAAATGTAACTCTGATCTAACAGCATGGAAAATGGCAATCCTTTTCAAAAGGATGTTTAGTGAGCAGCTGATAAGCTTCAGGCTTAAGTCTTTTGAATGTTAATTTGCCTAGAAAACCCACACTACCGAAGAAGAAGAAAAAATAATCACATGTTGTAAATTCAGTGTAAAATTTAGGAGGCTAAGAAGGAGTTTTAAGAATATGTGTAATGTTGTAAAAGATGGCTCAACCACTCAATTAGCATAGGATTCTCAATCACTCTAAAACCACTCTGAAAGCTGCTAAAGATCTGATGTTGCTAGCATATCACCAAGTACTGACCAAGATAAGTTATTGCTGAAAATACTAAATGAACTTGGAGCTTAGTGGGCTTTCAAAATAAAGCCTAAAGGCTATATAATATACTGTCAAGTTTGTTTGGATGTTGCCTTTGGAGCTAGCCACTGAAAGTCCTGATATTCTGAAAGTCTTAGTCCAAATATATTCTTCTAGAAATTGGCAATGACTTTGGATGTCTAAACTGATCTTCAGAGAATGAATGCTCACATCTTGAAGAATCCCTTCTCATTAATGTGTTGAGCATCCAAAATAACTAGCCAATTCTAAAAACCATGATTACCTATGGTGAGCAAGATTTGGAGTGGTAACCTGCCCTGTGTAATTAAAAACTCAAGAGTCATCTCTCTCCGTCTTTCTGGCCAGTGTCCATGCTATTTGCTTGTGACTAGTTAAACAACATGGATGTGTGAGGTGAGGTACACTATGTTTTACCCAAGTGACTGCACAGTAAGGGTTTCTGCTTTTTGAACAGTCTGTAATTATTTGAACTGTGATTTTTTCTTTCAGAAGAATAATAATCTGAAATTAGAATTTGGACCATATCCTCTTTTGAGCTTTTAATTGCACTCTGATGTATGATTTGGAAAAATAGCTTGCCAATTTTATTACCTTTCGCAAATGGTCTCATTGTTGCTTAGGAACCAGCATAATGTTCAAGAAAAGTACTATCCACAGTAGATGATAAAATGGGTTTTGTCTGAAACATACATCTCCTGAGGCAGAATGAGTATGTCAGTGCATATACACCATCAGAAAGTGCTATGGAGATATGCAAACTTCTGCAGTATTGGTATGGCTATATTTTACTACTGCCTCTCTGCTTAAAAGTTTCTTTAGAACAGCATAAACTCTAGTTATACTCAAAACTAATCAGAAAATGAGTTGTGGATAACTGAAATCTCTCTCTCTCTCTCTCTCTCTCTCTCTCTCTCTCTCTCTCTCTCTCTCTCACACACACACACACACACACACACACACACACACACACACACACACACACACACACACACACACACACACACACACACACACACACACACACACACCCGTTTTTAATCAGGTTGCCTTGTTAAGACTATTGGAAAGCAGACCTAGATGAGAAGTTCTGTGTGTGTGTATATCTGTTACTAATGTCAGTTAGCTATCACTACCGCATAGGTGATTTAGTTTATATTTAGGCAGATAGAAGGCAGCTCTCTCTGCCATAATTACATCTCTGCAATGGTAATTTTATTGCTAGCAAATACTTTAACTAACATAAATAGCTAATTGATGCAAAAGGGTAAGAAAAGGTGACTTGTCATTTTTTGACTTTTTTTTTTCCGACCATAAATGCCAAGTATCTTCCAAAGTATGTGAACTACTGAAGAAGAAATTTTATCTGTTTTTGAAATAGAGAACCAAGATTAAAGAAGAGTATATGAATATTCTCAAGCCCTTTCCCATTCAAACAACTTCATCAGAAATAACTAGGAACTAAGATATAGTATTTTAAAGAAAGATAGCACTTTTCCACAGCAAACACCAACTGAGAGAGATCAAGCCATGATAAAAGCAGTGAATTCTCTGGATCAATTCCAGACTTATTATACTTAATGACCTTTTTTTAACCTCACTCATTATCTGATTTCTCCCTGCTTTGACACTGATGCTTGGAAATGTTGTTTGTCCAAGTTCACTCACTTTCTGACTAATTCTGTGTTGCTATACCTGTTACCTGTTGGCCATGTCCATTCCATCCTATATATTGAGTCCTATTTTTGTTGTAGCATACATCTTTGTAAGAAGTAAAATCCACCTTAGAGCAGACGGAATGAAATTGGGGAGCATGGAAATACTGGACAGTGCTTTTTAATTAGTGGAGCTTGCCCCTGAAAAAAACTAAAAAGTTTTAGTCTTTATTGAAATAATCTAAACAGTTTGAAAAGTTGAATGAAGTGATCACTTTCTAAGGGTGACTATTCTGCAAGCGTGTTGTGCCATTTTTTAAAAAAGAAACTTCTTATAATACTGACAAAAATATATACCCCCTTTTTGCTATTTTAATGCCAAGAAGTTGCTTTAAGACCTGCAGATTTTCTACTCAAAAATCTCTATTTTGATAGTGACAACACATCATTTACATGAAGTTAATTACAATAACTCAGATCAAAGCAGCTCCAGAAAGCATCCTTCCCTCTCAAAAACAAAATCAAAACATTTCTGTAATGTCCTAGTCCCACTGTTTGAAGAAAAATGCTAGAATATGAATTAACAGATTACCTGTGTCCTCTTGTTACTTCTTGATTTTACCCGTGAAGAGTGCTATCTTTGTTACTGATGTCCTCCTTTTAAAGATCTGAATAGGTTTTCTGGTGATCACTGTGTGTGGCATCTTTTATGCAGGTGCTTCTTGTTGCTAAGAGAACAGTTGCTTAGAGATGGAAGTTTGTTTTTTGTAATAGATCAGGGGCCATTGCAATTGAAAAGAGAATTTTGTAATTTTACCTCTACAGCTCAAGGTACCTGCTGAAAAATAACCAGAGATAGAGATGCACATGCCTCATATTGATTAGAATTGTAAGTGGAGAGAAAAATCACAAAAGTAAACAAAGTTTATAATTATGTTTGAAGGCTCTAAATATCCAGGAAAGAGGGATTTGTAATTTAAATGGAAGAGCAACTGACAGAAATGACATAAATCCTTTGCTTAGCACATCTGAACGTATTATTATTTTCTAACAAGAAGGAAGAAGAGTATGAGAATTTTATTTTAAAATTAGATCGGCAAATTTCTAGATAACCTTTTGTAATATACAATCCTGCACTGACAATGGAAAGATCTTAATGCCTATCCTATATGTTTGTGTCTATATTGTATTTTCCCTTATATTCCCAGTTTGCCTAGTGACTCTTCAGAATTACATTCTGAAGGCTAGTTTCCCTGCTGCTATTTATTTCTGTAGCTTTGGGCAACTTGAACAAACTTAACTTACGAAAATACAAATGTTTTTAAGAACTGCATTAATCAATTACAAGAAACACACAGAAGAATGACTAAAGTTACATAGGAAAAGGTGGCGGTATTATTAGAGGATGAGTCTAACACAAAAATGTGAATAAGGTACTTGTGCCTGTTACTTACTGTTTTGAAACACCAACAGAAATCTGAATTATCTCAGTTTCTGCTATGAAAAGTCCTTAACTGACTCAGCTGCCTCCTCTATAAATTTACCCTAATGATTCCCAATAGACTATCTATTTTGTGAAATAGGTCAAATCATCATTTTACTCAGTCTCTCAATATTAGAAAATCCAGTCCTTCAAGTCTGTTCTCAGCAAGGCCACGTTATGTCCCCTGGCAGTAAGACTATGCATCCTTGTCTTTCACTGTCAGGCCACAAATGGAAAAGCTTCTCATAAAGTGTTTTCATTCTTCTTCTGAATTCACTCAAGGCTTTAGTATTAGCATTTCAAAGGAATAAGTAAAATAAAAATTAGAGCACTCTTGATAAGAAAACCCATCTAATGGGTGAAAGGATCTTATAAATAAAGGACTATGATCTCATTTGGAACAAAGGTATTTAAGACTTACGTACAATAGTTCTAGTGATAGAATGTTTTTAACTTGGCAGAGGGCTGGAAAGGGCCTAGAATTTTACTCACTGTGAGGGGGGAGTTAAAAAAAATGGCAGCAGACAGTCTGAGGAGAATAAGGACTGAATTCACAGGGAAACTCTTCCGGCATGACTGTGACCTCATTGAAGATACACAGCTTACACAACCAGGATCCAACATATTTGTCAAACTGAGAATTGAACACTTGTTCCTTTTCCCATGCGCACACACCCTTCCATCTCTATTTGTTATACAGAGACTTGTTTACAGGATCATTTCACTGTCTAATCTTCCTGGAATCAAAAGTACAAGCAGAAATGGGCTGTTCTCTAATGAACAGTTCTATTGAGTCCCATATTCAGTGCTGGTCACAATAATGGTTAAAATCTGTTGCACAGCATCTTATGTTATTAAAGTGTTTGCTATAATTATTTTGTTCTATTTGAAAAAGAGAGGGTAGCTGTACTAAAAAATTATTGGGAAAGTAAGTGTTAATACTTTTTGTTTTAACAAGCTGACTATGTGTTTTTACTACTAGTAAACTAGGGATATTTACGCTCTGGAAGAGTTAGATTTTGAGGCTGGTTTAGATTTTTTTTTGTGGTACATTTCCTACAGATTCTTAATATAGACAAACTAATACGAATAGTCACTTCTGAAGAGCACAGATACTTATTCCATGGATACCAAATTGAGAGTTTATATAGCAGTATAATTAAGATACTATAGAAATTTTGCAGCTCTTTCCCATGATTTGAAATTGGTTTACTGTGTTTGGTGTTGCTTTGGTTTAACTAGCTGATAAGAAATACAGCTTGTGTTGAAACTTGCTAGTTTTCTTGTTGTGTTTGTCTTTGACTTCCCTACATACTCTTAGCACAAGTCAAACTCAGTACTTGTTGCTGGTGCAGACATACTTTGATTTGTTTCCTGTTTAGGCTATAAAGGGAAGTTGTGGGGGGGGGGGGGGGGTGAGGGGAGTTAGGACAGATCAAACCCTTGTGAGGTTGCAACTGTCACTAACTTTGGAGATGGCATATTGTTTTATAGGTGTTGAGTCAATCTAGCATTAGAAAGTAACATTACTATTGGAAAAAGTGCTCTGGGTGCTTTCATTATTGCTAAATCACAGTGATAATGCAGATTAGCTTAATTTAGAAGCACGTATATCCTTAGATATCCTTTATTGTATATGCAAATAGTAATAATAAACTACTTAACCATTCATATCATTTTAGACAGCCTCAGAATGAAGAGATTAGTAAAAGAAGAAGTGAATATAAGGAATGCTAAATTAGTACAATTTCTTTCTCTGTTAGTACATGTTGCTTGAAGTTTAGGGGAGCCCAAGAGTTTCCCAACATGCACTTTTGGACTCATTACATGACCGTTGGAAAAAAAAGGATTACTTTCTAAAAATTGGCAATCTGATAATGTTTTTGTTGGGGCTCCTTTTTCTGTTACAGTGATGCATCTACTTACTGATAGAAAGAATTTGTGTATGAACCCTAAGTAAGGGGCAAGAAGACAATTAAATTGGTCATAAAGTGAGCACAGAAGGGGTTAAAGAATGAAAATACTTGTTTATAGTTAAGCTAGGTTTTGTTGAGACTGACTTCTGTGGGATATATCTTTAAATCAAATATTGTTTCCATAAGCCAGAGAAAATTTATTTAAGTTCTTTCATGCCAAAGAATTCTCGGAACTTTGTATAATGGAACCAGAATGATTGGACTTGTTGTTCATTACAAAGATCTCTAGTTGAATACTACAAATTCTTCAGAGCCTGAGTAGGCATTCACTGAATTAACAAAGTTCTTTTTTATATCATTAAAATAAGGCATTTTTTTCTAAATATTTTACAATAGAGTTTTGTGAAAAGAGGATGCAAAATGCTCTTCATAGTTGCGCAGGAGAGTACATGTCCCTGTAGGGTCCCTGTGGTTCGTATGATAAAATTGATTAGAGTTTTATTTTAATAACAAGGGCTTAATTCTAATCTGGCAACTGTGTAGAAAGAAAATAACTCCAGTAAAATCAGTGGGAAGGAAATTGCTGATAAGAAAATCACGATGGTGAAATTAGTAGAATGGGATCAGGCTCAGGTCTCAGTTCTTTTTATGGCCTCATGGCTTCAGTGCAGTCATGAGGGTATGTGGTAAAGAATCTCCTTACTCCTAGGATGGATAGCCTCTGGTAAATGTCTCTCGGCTTCTCCATTTTATTTTTAAGATAGAAGGAAACAGCCATCTGTACGAACACAGATTGTCAGTACAGAACCACACTAAAGATCCATCTAGCTCAGTACTCCACCTCAGAAAGTGGCCAAAACTAGATGCCAAGTGCGGAACATAAGAATTGGGCAAATATATGTAAGATTTTCCTCTTCCTGCCTTCCCCCTCAACTTAAGGACAAAGGAATTTAAAGTGACACTCTTACCCATCCCTATGTTTGCAATAATGGCAATCTGTCTTTTCTAGGCCCCTCAAGAAAGAAATGGTAATTCCTTTACAAGCCATTTTACTCCTGCCTTTTCTCTTAACTTCACAAAGGTTTATTTTCTTGTTATTCTAAAGAAGTCAGATTTCAAATACCATTAGAGAGCAGAGATTACTGCAAGTACCTGTGTACTCAAATACTTGTTTTGTTACTTTGTAATTTAAATGTGTGTATCATCCATGGAAATTGTCAATATTTAACTTTTGAGTTCCCTCTCTGGAGAGCAAAATTGTTCAGTAAAACATACATTACCTATCTGAAAATTCAAAACCTTCTTAAAGGGGTACTGGATAAACTGCTTGAATGTTTTGTTTATTTTAATTTTATTTCTTGTTACTAGTAAAGTACTAAGTACAAGTAAAGTGCAAAAGTATAGCAGAATGTTTGCAGACAATCTGCTTTTAGCCATTGCTTTCCACTTTCAGTCAAGCCTTGCAGTACTGTCTTGGTAGGACTTCAGGTGCGTGAGTGCTTCTAAAGAGTTCCTTCCTTTAGCATCTGTTGCACTCCCAAACCTGTTTACATCTCTTCCATCAATATTTCTGAGTTACTCTTTTACCTTTCTGCGATAACATATCAGTTCAGTGGCAGGAATTCACCCTTCCAAAGAATGGTGTGCATGTGTTCAGATGTGGTTTGAGTGAATTAGTACAGACAGATAATAATTGGAAATGAATCATTTCAGGTTTTGCCCATGTATTTTTTTTTTACAGTGTCTTGGAAGAAGCTGGGCTATTTGACTGTACTAAGCCAGTGCAGAAATGATCTGCTTTTTGCCTCCCCAATTTTGCTTCCTCTTTGCTCCCCAAGGAGCAAAATTTTCTTAATACAAATTAGATTTGGCTTCTCTAGCTTATGCCACTTTACAAAGGTCACCTAAGGACTATTATATTATGGGATTGACTTAAATGCATTCATGCTGCCGACAGCTTTCCTTTTATGCCTATTTTTAGAAGATCTATATTTCTTGCAGTTCAAATTCAAGGCTGATTTGGCCATTCTGTTTCCTCAGATCATCACAGCTCACTTTCTAAGGTATCTTCTAAAACCCTCAAACTTTACAGAGTAACTTTAAGGTTTTGAATTTTGTTTCTGTCCCCCATTTTGCTGTGATGTAAATCTGCTGACTTGAGTGAGAGAGGTAGGTATTTTGGCCTTGGAGAAGATGTTCTATGTGGAAGTTCAACATCCACTGGCTCTGAGGTGTCATGCTAGAGGTTACCTGTCTTTGTTTCTCCAACAGGTGA